AAAATCCTTCTAAATTATATAAATAATAATTTAATATCTCAAAATGTCATAATTTCATAAAAATTTTAAAAATTTTTCTATATATCTCCCACTCTAAAACTTGTAAAAATTAAATAATTTCACCCTGCCATCTTGATTGTGAAATTGACCTTGATTGTCAAGTTGACAATCACTTGGCATTTATTTAAGAAAATTTTTTAAATAAATCCAAGTCAAAATACTCATCTCTTCAAAGGATAAAAAAAAAAAAAAAAAGCTAAAGACATGTGTCGTCCACCATGAAATTTGACTCAAAGACCTCACGCACCGATCTTCTTCCTCCACGCCAAGTTGTAGTATGGGGATGGATCCAGAGCTCAATGTTTAGGGGTTCAATGTCGGGCAAGCAGGGGTAAAAAGGGAAAGCCTAGGTGGAGGGGTAACTATTGGTTGAATTAATTATCTGGGTGGGAAGCCTTGAATTCTTGGCTTCTTGTGAGGGTAACATAATTTATTTATTTTTTGTTTTTTTTAAATAAGTTTGGGTTTCAGTGATTTCTCATTATGATTCCTTTTGAGATGTACCTGGATGATTGATGCAATATAGAATTCCTTCTATTTGTTTAGTTGACCTCCATGATGTCCAAAATGTCCTTTATAATTGAGGTTTTTGAAATTCTGAAGCTGATAAGGTTTGGTAGTTATTCTCTTTCAGCAATGCCAGCCATAAATTTTCATCCATTGCTTGTATTCTCTGTCTTTTTCCTTATGGATTTCATTCTATATGGAGAATGGCAAGATACTCATATGGAGATTAGCTACACTGATGTTGACTGCCTTGTATTCTCTAATGTTGCATCTTATATTCTTCGGTTCTTTTTCTTTTATAAATGGAGCGAGATGTTGATGAGCGAACAGAGTGACTCTGTTTTTAGGTTGAATCATTATTCTCCATGCTCAGAACTTGCAGGCCTCAACAATGGCGAAAATGTGGTGGGGTTTGAAGGGTTAAGGGCTTTTAATGTGTCCTTCTCTAATGCCACTTATAATATTCTAACTTTTTAATTTCATTTTTTTTAATCATTGGCTTCTACATAAAATAAGAAATATTTTAATATTTTAATATCCCAAAATGATAAAGATTTATATTTTTTATGATTTTTTAAAGAAAAATATCACAAATATACCCTTTTATTTTTTTAAAAATTATAAAAAATATAAATTTTCATTATTTTGGAACATCAAGATATCCAAATATCTCTCATTTTATATAGAAGTAATGATCTAAAAGAATGAAAAATAAAATTAAAATGTTAGGACATTACAAGGACTAAAAAAGGATATATTAGAGGCTACTAGCTCGGGTTTGAAGAGCACACAGACCCACAAATCGTTACCGTGTGGAGATCCATTGATGCTTCAGGACTTGAAGTTTCTCTCAGAGACGGAACTTGGGCCATGCTGCTCTCAAAGACCAATCGCCTCCCAATCTCTTCACTGATTTCACTTTCTTCAAACCCTTCTGGCTTCTCAATGCTGTCAATACCACCATAGCCATCCACTTCGTCAAAGATTACCATGTCTTCTCTCAGCCCATTTTTGCCTTCATCGACAAACAACCTTTTCAGAGATTTCCCAGAAGGTAGCTTTTGAACAAAGAATTCAGAGAGAGCAAAGGTGACAGAGGAGGAAAACGGAGCTTGTGCGATGGTTGGCTGAGAGGAGGGAGAGACAGAGAGAGATGGTAGAGCTGGTTAATAGTGTAGAGAAAAGGAGCAAGAAGAAACACAGATCTGGTCAGCTCATCCAGTTAATACCAAGGGTCATTTTTTTTTTTTTTTGGTTAAACTTGAATTTAACGATTGCGTGAAAAAGCTCCTTTTTTAAAATTTCGAAAAAAAATGTTTTAAATAAAAATTTAGGATATCTGATATCCTTATAAAAAAAAAACAGTTTCAAAATAAATTTATCCTTTAATTCTTTAATTTAAGATACTAATAAGATGCTAATATCTTATTTTATTAACGATAAATAAATTTAAGATAATTATAAATTCTAATTCTAACTAATAGATATTTTTATGTAAATATCTCTAATAGTTAACATTAATATATGTAATTATCTTAAATAATCACTATTTAATATTCTATCAGAAAATCTCATTAAATTGCTATAAATAACAATGATGCATGGAGGACGACAGAACAAAAGAAAATAAAATAAAATAAAATAAAAAACCAAGTCAATAGCAAAACAAAAGAACAACAAGAAGTTCAACTAGTAAAATTAACCAATACCTTCCTTATTTCAAGGAGGACTAGCAGGGGTAGATTCAAAATAGCTACCATTCTTTAAATTAGTAAGCAAAAACCTAAACAAAGATGTAACCACAGAGAGCCATCCCAGAGGAAAAATCTTCTTAAAATCCATCATTACTAAAAAAATTAGCAGCTCTATTATCTTAGCTCTACCAAGGAGAATCTAACATCCTTGTATGATTCTTTGACAGATAGTATGTCCTACACAATTTCAAAACAATGCCAATCAAAATCAATACTCAGCCGACCTGCAAGCATGCGAAGCAAAGCCTCACAATCTATCTCAATCAAAATGTTCATGCCACTATATCTTCCTGCTTCTTTCAAGCCTTCTAAAACTGCAAAACATTCAGCCATAAGAAACAAGACAGTGATGATTCATACATTTTTTATATTTCTACCTCACTTTTCTTGGAAAATTACCACTTGTTTTGACATATTTGCAAATAATTTGTCATATTTGTGATTAAAGGGCAAAAAGATATTTTTAAAGAATTTTTTGGATTTACCGCATATTTTTTTAGATTTTATTGAGTATTATTTTTAATCCCTAAAATACACTTTTCTATTAATTTTATCAATTTATTTGTAGGTGGCTAAATGAAAAACAGAAGAAGCTAGAGGAATAAATTGAGAAATTTCTTCTCTTATTTTTAATCCTTAAAATATATTTTTCTATTAATTTAATCAATTTATTTGGCTTGTGGCCCACCATTTGTTTGGATTCAAGGGTATTAATGTACCCTTGAATCAACGAAGACGCACATTCTTGACGTTATCTTGTGCTGATCACTTGGCCAAAATGGCACATAATTCTTGTAGGGAATTGATTTTCATATATGAGGAACCTGTAGAATGTGCAAATTTATTTTCTTAATGATCATGGTGGGAGTCTGTCTTATCGAAACTAATTTGAGACTTTTAGCCACTTACCCTTGGCTAACCTTATTAATGAGGGGGGGGGGGGGGGGGGGAAGACGCTCATTTTTGTCCTTTTCTACGGCGAAGGTTGAGAGGCAAATAGAGTGAGAGAGGGTGCAAGCAGGCGAAACAAAAAGTGTTAGAGCAGAATATTTCAAGAGAAGGTCGAGATTTTTGTAGACTAAGTATTCTATAATTTTTGTTTTAATTAAGATTACTAATTTTAAACCCTTTTACAGATGATAGAAAATAGTTTTAGAGAATTTTAGATAACTTTAAATAACTCTGAGAGTTGTTAAAATTATTTTTTAGAGCAACTTATAAATCAAAGGTGAATCTAAGGAATAAATTATAATTAAATGGGATTTATTTTAAATTATATGAGGATGAAAATTTAACTTATTAGATGCTTGAGACTTATAAAATGTTCTTACAAGCAATTTAAAGTTAAAAAGTACTTATTAATATAATTTAGAGTTGTTTTGGGAAGTCTTTGGAATAAATTGAGAAGCTCTAAGGTTAGAAAAACATTAAATAAAATTTATATGAACTAACTAGAGTAGTTTTAGAGTTATATATAGCTTTCATGAATACTTTCAGATAACTTGAGAGTAATAAATAATTAAATGTAAATTTTATGTGACTCTAACTTTTTAAATTATTGTTAATTTATAGGGCGTTAGGAGCTACCGAAGAGACTTCTTAATTTTGTTTTGACATTTAAATTAGCTAAAAGATATCTTATAGAGATACCTCAAGTTCTTTGAGTGAACTTAAGCCAGTAACTTATTTTAAGTTACCTTGTATGCTAACATGGATAAATAATTGAACCTTTTTGTATGCTAACATTGAATTGTACCTAAATAGCATTCATATAATAACATTTATTAAAACTCGGTCTAGTGGTTAGCAAAACAAAAATTTTGGGGACTTTTATGTGAAATTATGGTTAGTGGGAAACTATTACTAGGAATTTTTATAATTATTTGTTTGAAATTTATAAGACGTGATAAACTCATGTTGATCATAATTTAATTAGTTGGAGTTTGGTCCAATCATTTAAATATATAATTTATTAAGTTTAATAGTGCCAATATAATGATAAATGCCAGAAATTTTGAGAAACAAGTTGTCAAAATTGTAATTTAATCTAGAATATATTATTGGAACTATGTTAATATGAGGTGGCTATAAGCTATGGACTTAAAATGAGGAAGTAAGGTTAGACCGTGATCACACACTCACCCTCATGTGGTGCGAACTAGGTGGCTTTAATATGTATCTGAGCTACCCCAATTATTTTGACTAGGATCAAGACAAACTCCGTACCATTTGGACACCTTTTATGGTCAAAAAAGGGAGATCGAGACTTCATAAAGAGAGATGAGGCCTTTAGCCGAACACCATCCCCTATCATCTAGAATCTTAGCATAATGAAATAAGACCCACATCGCCCTTTAATTCTTCATCTTCACTCCACACTAGTACTTCAAAGACCTGTGCTAACATCAAACTATAATGCTTCACAAATGAAGCTATTAGCTTCTCGACAACAAAAGAAGCTTAAAAAAGGGGAAAAAAAGAAAAAAAAATGCTTCCAAAAACTTATAAATAATGTTATTCATATGCAAAGATTAACAACAAGTCATTATCTAGAGGAAAAAAAATAAGTTTATGTTTTTATTTTAACAGCAATCCATTTCATATTAGTCATTGTTTATGAATAATATTATTTGCAAGTCCTTAGATGCAATTTTTCTTAAGAAAAAAGGAAGAATGACATTTAAAGCCTTCTCAAGAGAATTTATTGCAATAACAGCCCATCAGTTTTGTCAAGGATATTATCTTATATAAACACATATATATTGCTAAAAGTTAAACCTTAACTTTTTAAATTTTTAAGGGAATCATATCCATCCCTAAAATTATCACTCGAAAGATACCTAACATTAATGATTCAGGCCATGATGGTCTCTACAAATCAGAACTGATTCCATGAACATATTCCAAAACAGATCTTCCCAATATCATATCCATATTTCTAATATGTTCTGTTTGTGGATACCTAAACTCTGTTGACGTAGGCCATGCAGATGATCTCTGCAAGTCAGAATAGATTCCATGAACATGATCAAAAAGTTGTCTCCCCAGTATCATACTCATATTTCTAACATGTTCTGTTTCTAGATACCCAAACTTTGTTGATGTAGACCATGATGATCTCCGCAAGTCATAACTGATTCCATGAACACAACCAGAAACTTGTCTCCCTAGCATCACATCCATATTTCTGTATCACATCCATAATTCTAACATATTCTGTTTCTGGATACATAAACATAGTTGATTCACGCCACGATGATCTCTGCAAGCCACAACTGGTTCCACCAGCATAACCAGAAGAAGCTGGCCCTAGTTTCCCTATTTCACTGTTTAAGTAGCCTCCTCCTCCAAAGATTGGAAGCTGTCTATTTCTGCAACTAATTAGTGATGGTGATGAGAGTTGGTTGAGGCTTCTCAGAGGGTAATGATGATTGCTGAGAATGGGTTCCTTCTTCATTAACAACTTGAACTTGAATGTGCTACACTCACCCACGGGGAAAGGCTCATCAGACCTGGACCCATCACCTCGCTTGTTGTATAACCGGGATAATCTTCTTTTTTGAAATCAACACACTCTATCAGCCACAGGAGGCTTTGTGTCCCAAGTTCATTTATGCACCAATCATTAAATGGTGGTGTGGTCTTGTGATTTACATGAATTTCACCGTCAGATTTGAGCATGCTCCTTGCATTCCTAAAAAACCCAAGTACAAGGTTCTTGTGTTTCCTGGAAGTGCCAGAAAAGGGATGTTACAGCCTTCACATGCACTAATTAACTAAAGGGAAGTTTATAATAATAATTCACTTATAATGTCATTGTGATCAATATAAGAATATACCAATCAACATTCACAATTATTTTGGATAGTTCAACTAATTCCTTAAACTCCATGCAATGCATGGGAAAACGAGTCTAATTATATCCAAAACAAGACAACTGAAGCCAGACAAGTGTGTGTGTAGAGAGAGAGAGAGAGAGAGAGAGAGACTTAAATACGAACATGTGTTACAGACAAAATACAAACATGGAATGCCAACTTCTACACTAGTAAGGTCAGTAGTACTCATAATATGTATTGATCAAAAGGTCCTTGCTTTTCTTTTGATACACAACAGGGAGGTACTTGGATCTTTTCTTTATGAAGAAATTATCAATGCAAGAACATGGAAATCATTTCCTCACAACATAGTAAATACAAGATTAAGATGAAATGTCTTAAATACCCTCACACATGCATTGTTTTCTAATGAAAGTACTAAAGCTTACTAATTAAAGTAATCAATGTACAGTGATGAACCTACATGCTAGTGAGTGTGGGCACTTGCCCCCATAGCCCCAGTTGCTTCTGCAAAAATTACATGCAAGGCATGTAAAATTTATCTTTTTTTGACCCCATTGGTTTAAATATTTTCACCTACTAAGTTTCAATTCTATTTAGTTTACTCTTTTGCCTCTACGAACAAAAGGTTTTGGATCCACAAAAAAATTATTGTTCTCATTTTTTAACATGGTCGATAGATGTAGACATGATATTCACTTCTTGCCTTTGAAAAAAGGTAAATTTTACCTTTGGACGTTTGGATGACATTTGAAAATACAATATATTGAAACACTAGATGAGTATCCTAATCTTTTGAGACTTTTGAAAATTATTGATGAAAAGTTTGGGCTTTACATATATTTAAAAAAATGCCATTCTAATATTATTTAGGACATCTGCCACATATATACTTACAGAAATTTCATATTTACTGTAGTCAACCATCTTATACATAAGTTGCCACATGCCAGGGAAATTAAATTGTTCATATACCAAACCAGACAACAGCTTAGACTGAAAATCATAATTTTGAGCACCAATAATTGTCAAGTGAAATCTTTTGGAAAGGCTGACAATCTTTTCATTTCTATTATATATCCATGGTCTGAAAGCTTAAAAGTATAATTGTAAAATTACAAGAGTGTTTTCACATCAAAATCAAAATATATAATAACACATTTTACAAGTCACATTTTCACAAGCCATGTATGATGCAACTCATTTATAGAAACCATGTAACATGAAAAAAAGTGTCTAATCATATATTAGCATCTCCATAATATATATGTGTATATATATTAAAATGTTAGACAAAAGTAAAATGAATTCTAACTGGGAGACTCACTGAATCAGGGAGAAGCTGTCTTCTTTGCCATGAAAGCCTGCATGAGGGAAATTGAATATAATTCTATCAAATTCCCTCGTTTTCAAGTCATCATGGGATTTCATCTGGGTTGCATCAACTCCGTGCAACACCGTTGCTCCCAGCTTTGTTAAGGCAATTGCATTTGACATGGCTCTCTTGTACTTCTTAAGTTGATCTTGATGAACAGGAAAAGCAATCCATGACACAACCAATATTCACAACTGTGCTAAAATCAACAAACTAAATAATAGTCGCAAAAGTAATTATTGTTCATTCAAAGAACAAAATCTGTGATATTCGTTCCTTGACTTTTCTTTGTATAGGGTATGCAATATATACGAACGACGGGAAAAAAATCAAATGTTAAAATTCCTTATTTGTGTTGAGTTAAATACCAATAATCAATGATCCCTTCAGCGAAATCGCAGAGCATAGCTTGTGTTCGTTTGGATGCTTAGAAAAGAACAAGCGAACAAGAATCAAACTCACTTAGATGAACAAATTCATCGTTTTGCAAATTCCTAGGGGAAAATAATAGTGATTTCAACAGGGAAGGGGGGCAAAAAATAAGCAACAAACCCAGAGAATTCAAAAGCTCTAGCAGTAAGAAGCGTCATCATCAAGAAATCACCAAAACTCTATACCGTTTCAGATAATAACCACTAATGAAGATAATATCTTTCATGATGAAGGTAAAAAAACTGATGATGAAGAAGAAGAAGAAGAAGAAACACACTCAAACGTAAAGGTAAGAGCAGAGGAAGAGAGAGAGAGACCATAAGTGTCGAGGGAAGAAGCAACGATGTTGAGAGCAGACCCAAAGGATTGAGCCAAGCAAAGGGAGAAGGTCATCCATTTTTCTTCTGATTCGTCTTCTCCAACACTCCAACCCACCATCTGTGCTCTCGCGATTGCGTGTGTAAGAAGCTTTCCGTCAACGAGACTCCCAAAGCTGAAGCTATAGTCAAATTTTGGTCTTTCTGAGTCATTGAGTAGTCCTTTATCGAATCCAGTTTGAGTGCTCATCATGTCCCATGATTAGCAATCCGCAACTTTGCAGGTTTTATTTTTTACATTTTATTTTATATTTTTTAAAATAAAAATTATAAATAATAACAAATTTATTATATCATCAATCAAAACAACATAAATTTAATTTAATTTAAAATAAAATTTTTTTAATTTTTTAAAAAATAATTATTAAATACAGACGATTTAAAATATATTTAAATAATTAATTTATAAAAATTATAAAAAAAAATTTAAAATTTTCTACACATACAACTCATTTGATAGGATCAAATAAAGATAACATTCTAACATTTTAAATATTTTACAATATGATCGAATTAATTTAAGTTAAATTGAAATGATAAAAACACTCTCCTCAAATCTAATGCATATTGTGGCCACTAAATTAATGATAAAGTATTTAAATATTAAAGCGATTTAAGTTGTAAAGGAGCCACGATTGTAATCATTCAATTACCAAAATTTTGTTATTCTATTACACAAGTTTTTTTTTTCATTTATTTTGTAGATAAAAAAAATCACATCCAACTAATTGTAAATAGGTCACATTTTAAAGTTTTTAAAAACTTATTTCATAATTTCTAGTTAATATATTTTTCACAGCCCATTAAACTAATTTATTTAAAAAATTAATATTAAATTAGATTATTTAAATTAAACATGTATTATTTAAATTGATAATAAAAAATTTATTAAAATTTTATAATTTTTTATAATAAATATAAAATAGAAATAAAAAAATAAAATTTTAAAATGATGCCCGTGAGCAACCCTTGACAACCACCGACACCTAACGCGATATGTCGCAGTGGCAAATGATTCTTTTTCTTGGTGAATCGCGTTTTGAGCAATGACAACCAATTGTCCTCTTTTTAATTTATGAACCAGTCAAAAAATATGCCGGAAAAAAGTCAAAAATTATTATCGTATTCCTTCCTAGAGGAAAGAGAATCTTCAATACTGATTGTGTTTTAAATTTGGGTAAAGGTATATTTTTATTTTTAAAATATTTTTTAAAGAATATTCAATATCTTAATTTTTTGTTGAAACAATTTTATCTTTAATATTATTAAAATAAAATACTTTTATCCTTTTCATTAAATTTTTAACAATTAATGTTTGAGCTCAACGTTGGAATTTTGATGGAAATGATAAAAATACTCCATTTTCATAAAATTAAGAGTAAAATTACTTTAATAAAAATATTAAGGTGTTGGGTATTTCTCAAAAAATATTTCAAGGATAAAAATACATCTTTACCCTTTAAATTATAAACAAAACCACATGCACAAAAATTTTCTGTCAATATATTATTATTATTATTATTTTAATCAATGATTTAAACACTAGACCAAACGAAATAATCAAACTATCAACCAGAGCTATTAATGACTTGATTTGGATCAAAAATTATTTTTATGATTGAGTTGAATTGGACCAGGCTGTTATTAAGTCAAAAATCAGAGTTGCATAAGGAACAAGAGTGGTTTTCAAAAAACTGAATAGTTTTAAACATAATATTAAAAAAAATTTAAAAATATAAAAAACTAAAAAAATTAAAAATTAAATCATGCTAAAAGTCAACTTTATTTTTAAACAATTCACATGTATAAAATATAATTTGAAAATATTTTCTTATAAAGATATAACATTTATAAGTGAAAATGTAAATATTTTTAAGTCTTTTTATATATAATTTAATCAAAATTTATTTATATTTGATAAGTTAATATTTATATTTATTAATTTACTATCATTTTATGTTATTTTATCAACATGTTATAATTTTTTATATTTATATATATATATATATATATATGTATGTATGTATTTAATATTATTTTTATTTAATTATCACATTATCAACCTAACTGTTGATCTAATCGATTAAAACATAATAACCAATAACTGTTGACATTTGTGACTTAATGCCTGATCCAGCTTTTAAAACATTACTTTTTACTACGCAATCGGGTCGAGAGTTATAAATTGTGCCAACTCAGTTTACATAGCACTTCATGACTCGAATAAGGACAACGCTCCCTCAGTCCCTCCAACTCCTTTTTATGTTCTTCGATATGGGATTTAGTTGGGAGTAGCAATGAGTGTGTAAAAAATAAGCAAAGGCTGCATTTTTCCCTCTTTATTCTTATTAATGATTAATATTTATTAATTTTTATAAAAGAATCACAAAGCCTGACCATACAACCGTTTAGCTTCTTTTCAAATCTTTAAGTTTTATATTTCTAATTCTAATTATTTATCTATATTTTTATATAAAGTTTATATTTTCAATTTAGTTGTAATAAGTCTCCTGAAAATAATTAATAGCTTGTCATTTTTTTATGTAATTGATATTTATTAATGAATATTGAATAAGTTTTCCCTCTTAGCTTTCATTTTCAATTATCTTACAACAATTTTTTAATCATTATTAATAGTTACTAATTCTTTTTAAATATTTATTATAAATATTATTCACTAATAAAATGGTATTTCATTTAAAAAAGAGTACACATTCATAAAAACTCATTTTATGAATTTTATCTCATAAAATAATATTTTTAAAATATTACATATAACTTGTAAGTATCATGTGCGATGCACGACACGTGTGAAAGCAATTTTTTAGTGTAAGTCATAAATAATTAATTATTATTACTATGTGAAATAATAAAATATAATTTATTTATTTTTTTAAGAATTAACTAAATGGCCTCAACCCCAAATGGCAGGGTTGAAAAGTGAATTTTTGCATCTTAACACATTCTTCCTAGAATCGTGCAATTATCAAATTGCCACCGTTCAAGTCAATTTTTAACTTTTAAAAATGAGAACAAGATAATTGAAAGTTAAGATGATGAGAAAGTAGTAGGGATAATGGGTAAGGAATGAAGGGAAAAAGGAAATTAAGATAAAAAAAATTTGAAGATGTAATTTCTATATAATTTGAAAGCACTAATATAATTAAGGTGTACAACACACACACACACACAGTTTACTAAAGACCGTAGAATGAAACTGAAATATAATGAAAATATTTTATCAATCATCACTAAACATATATAAAGATTCATAAACCCAAAATTTTTTTTAACATTTTGCTTTAGCAAATAATATTGTCATTTATCTTAATTATGAAATGTGAAAAATCCAACGCCAATTGAGAATTAAGAACTAAAAATTGTCTTTGTTTGCACTAGCAGCTAAATTCATGGTCTGAGTCATGTTTGAAAATACTGTCTTTAAGAACTATTTTGTTACACTAGATTGATCGAGCAGCAACTTCTTAAGATTAAATAGATTATTCTTGCAAAATGAGCAAGGACACAAAATAACGAAAATTCCCAATACAAACTCAGGCAATGCCAACATTTATATTGAAGCAATGAGATAAGGGAGGAGAGAAAGCTCATCTTAGAGGCTCTACAAAAACATGCGGCAAGTATTACCTTATAGGCAGATATCTCAAAAATTAGACAATAAAAACACATTAAACACAATTACCTTTTAATTTTTTTTTTCACGCTTCGTGCATCGCACAGGCCACATACTAGTTCATGTAATAATAGGATTTAATATATATGTTACAACAAAAATTTATTTGAATAGTATTTAATATTATTAATTTATAATAATTCATTTTGAAATACTCATAAATATTTTATAATATCTAATAATCCCACACATATTTTAAAAGGAAGGAAAATTTTTTGAAAAACTATCTTATAGTTTTCAAAATTTTGAAAAATTGCTTAGTACCATGTCTAATTCTTGCACAATTGTATGCGATAGTCCATTTTTCCTTTAAGCCCATTTACTAACCCAAGTTCACACTTTAGTATATATGGACTAAGGCCACCATTCATTTGAGTAACATGAGACTTTTATTTTTGACACAGCTGCAACAATCCTTCATATGTGTCAAAAGGAACATAACCATCTAAGTTATTCACACAAAAGATAATCATTTCAAATCTAGTACCTTTTGACTTGAACTAATAAAACTTAACACACAAAAAAGTCAATATAACTTCGTTCATGTGCACACCTAGTTTTAACAGATACTGTAGAGATTTTTTCACAATCTCATAGAAGCAGTTCCATTCCACAATTGTATAGATAATTTCATCAAGTGTATCTACAATAAATACACTATCCATAACGACCATGAAAAAGCATTAAGAGCTTTTTCTCAGCCTCCAATCAATGCATTCTAACACTTTCTCAAGCCATAGAAAGGGATAGAAAATTTAATGCTAGCAGAACTAACAAATGACTTGTTGGGTTGCCATCACCCCTTAATTTCAAATTGGCTTAAGTCCTATTCCTCTTAACATTTAATAATTAACTTCTTCCCCAAGGGTTTAATTTACGGATCCATTAAATTTACATTTGATCTCACATAATCGATTGAGATAACTCTATCTTTTAGCATGCTTAATTGTATCTCAAACAGTGTCTACCTATGCCATTGCTCTCTTTAGAATGACTATCACCATTTGATAATTACACAAGTCATCGACATAGTGTAACATCCCAATTTTTACTTAAAGAATTTAAATAAAGTTTGAAAATGATTTATTAGGTACATTAAGGATTCAAGTAACTTCATTTATATTGTCATCTAGAGATATAAAGGATTGGGGTTTAACGTAATAATTAACATGAAATTGGAGAAAATTATAATCAAAATAAATTAATTCTAGTTATATTCTTAAAGTACTAAATTATTATTTAATGAAGAAGAAAAAAAAGATAGTAAATATTCGTTAGCATTGATGAAATGATTTAACAATTATATTATATTTAGAAACAAATATAGAATATAATATATTATGTATATAATATAAACAAAATAATGATAATAATAATAACAATATTATTGAAGGAGGGGGGAAACGTGGGCCATGGCCCAACCTATTGGCAATTATAATTGCCATTTGCAATCTGATGCAAACACACACAATACACATTTCACCTTCCTTTCCCTTCGT